GATCCCTAAAGTGTTCTGCCCATCGATCCAATCTCCTGGATTGAGAATGAATAATATGTCCATCTTTCTCTGAGATTGTTTCGCTAACGGTCGGGTTCCTAATTCCGGTTTCCTTAACGAGTCTGAACAATTGTCTGCTATTACCTATTGCCGCTGCCTTTTCCATCTCTCTTGCTTTCGCTACCCACCACTGTTCGCGATCATTGCGTAGACTTCTTGTCAGCTTGCGCTTAAGCTGACTCCGCTCTTCATTATGTTCAGAGCCAGGTGGAATGAGTTTCCGAGCATCTATCAGTGCGATAGATGCTGCTGAGATCCAGTGTTGCTCCCTAACCTTCTGGTTTACCTTACTAGCAGATATCACTGCTGTTTCCACAGCTTTTCGGATATCATTCCATGCTGCATCGGGGTGGGCATCACATACATGGCTGCCTAACTGTTTTCCTAGTTGTTCCTGAAATATACTCTTAGCTTGACTATCATTAAGTAGGGCCCTAAGAGGTTTCCTTGCAGCGTCTTTCCTACGTCCAGTAAGACGCAAGCAAATACGCGCTCGCACTAGAGCATGATCTGAATCTAGGCATGTGCTCCAGAATGAGCGACAGTCTTCTATCGAGCCCCTCCATCGGTGGCTGATAGCGATGTGATCTATTTGGGTCCAACGTTGGGACGAATTCGGGGGTCGCCATGTTAAAAGATGTTTTTCCTTATGCTTAAAGTTAGTATTTGCAAGGAACAGGCGGTTATCTGAGCATAGCTGCAACAGACGGTCGCCATTATCTGTTCTTTGAGCCACGACACCATAAGATCCACCTAGGTGTCTTTCCCTATCGCTTAGTTTACCTACTTGAGCATTAAAGTCACCGGCCACTATTACTACATCCGAGCGCCTAGCTTTTCGGAGAAGGTCCGAAAGCTTTCTGTAAAACTCATCTTTTACATCATCTGAGCTGCAGTCAGTGGGAGAATAGGCAGAGACGACGAAGAGGCAACGACGAGTGTCCCTATCTTTCCGGATTCTTACTGTTCCGTTCAGTCGGACAGCGCACAAACGACTGTCTACTGGGATCCACTCTAAGAGAGCTAGTTCTGCCCTAGGACTCAATGCTATACCTACGCCGGCGAGGCCACGGGAAGCAGAATCAGGGCTTCCAGATACACGAAGCGTAAATCGAGTCGGTTCTTTATTTTGGCATGGTGAGGTCAAATGAATGACGCTACTTGGATCCTGTATGCGCGTTTCGGAGACGCAGCACACATCGATGGCGCGAGATTCTAAAGTTTTAGCTAAGGAAGCCTGCTGTCCTATTTGGCAAAGTGTTCGTACGTTAAAAGCTCCTACGTGTAGTTTAGAGCGTGGTTTCAGGAGACCAGGAATGGCGTTCCACGTACTCAAATCGTTTGCCCTAGCGGTGCGAGGTGATAAAGAGACGTGAGGAGGGTTAGTCATGGAGATAAGAGAGGTATTAGGAGGTGTAGGAAGGATTTGAATGTGACCACCTTGGTCTCTTGTGCTGTTACGGGTATGAGGGCTGATGTCACTTCCCGGCTGCCCACACCGTGGAAGGGTATTTCTTGAGGAACCTGAAAAGGAAATTGGATTAGTGTTGGTCTTGACGACCTGGGAGCGTGACCGCAGAGCCCAAGGGACAACTGCTTGAGGCCGGTCGCGCACGGCCTTTTTGTGGAAGGTTTTTGACGTGTTAGCTCCGTTCTTCAAAGGGCCTTACCGCCGGAGACGGAAATCCGTGAGGTAAGGTGAGGTGTGACATTTTTAGGGTCGACCTTTTCTAACCCCACCCCTCCTTGTGGGAAGGCAGCATCGCTGTCATGCTGGTTGTCCGAGGGAAACACCTTACTGCTGTCACACCCCTCTACAGTCAGCAGTACGACTTCGCCCTCAGACCTTGAGTTGCTGCTTTTAGTCTTACCGTTCACCAATCGACCTGCCTGGCATGGTAGAACCTACAGGAACATATGTTCCAGCCAATATAGCTCGGTTGGGTCATCACGATAGGCAAGCCCGACCACCGCGTCAAGGTAGCAGCTTCGGTCGGTCTCACATGAATACGGACTTCGAACAAAGTATCTATGATCAAAGTTGAGAAATACAGATCACATCTCGGGAAAACTTCTTCCTCATCAAGTATGCAATAATATGGAACACTTTTCCCTCCGAAATACGCATGGCAGATGAATTCCCTCACTTGCACTGATCTAGCACTGGACTTATCGATACTGTTCAACTAAACTCGATCGCTAATGGACACTCACTACCACCCTAAAAAGTCAAGAGGACCACACAATCGACTGCCTTCTACCAGTGGTCTTGCATTTATGGATCCTGTTACCCGTCAACTGGTTATTACAACACAAAATAACATCAGCACCAAGTTAATGTGAGTTTCTTTCTGTTTATTTATTAGCTTTTTACTCTTCTGTACACTATGTTGACTAGAAATTAATATTGTTTCTCCACTTGCTACCTTATCTACAACTCACATACTTCTATAACTTTCAGCCTGCCTACATTATACCCGTCTTAATGCTTATACTCTGATCGGCAAACTATACGTTATACTATAGACAATAAAAGCATTGCATCGATGCCTTACCCACAGTCCATAACTTGTAACTGCCTGGTAAACTTGTAAAGTGGTACTTATAGCAATAGTGTTTTCCAACAGGTTGTGAAACACAGAGGATTATGTGAGGTATGACATATACCCAAAAATAAGCTTAAATGAGCCTAACATCACAAAAGGAGGGAGGGTGAAGTTACTGACCAGCAAGCATTGATGGTGAGGGCAATGACTTAAATCCACCCATGTTTGTGGGGCAGAACATTTTGTATGTATCAGGCTCTTCATGATTGAGAATATGTCAATCAATCTGTGATATAGATTGTTTTCCTACGCTCACTACTCAGACTTATGTTTCCAATATTATGCTGAATTAGCTATTCTACTGAGACAACCTATAACATACCAACTCAGACTTTTACACTAGGATTGTGTGGCTGGCATCGGATGGACAAAAAAAGAAAGAAAAAATTAGACAATAAAATATAGTTATTAGTATTCTTAACACTTCATCCTCTATATGCACACCCTCTTCTAATAAACAGCTTTCCTTGTAACGACCTTGACTCTCCTTCATGTTTTATTATACCTCTGTCTGTTCTACTACAAAATGTTAAGCAACGTTTTGCGTTCATATCCCAATGCCTTGCTGCTCTTCTGTTTTTCTTTATTCTTTCTTCAGAAATTTGCTCTGAGGGCACAACTATGGATTTTCTGACGTCTGGAACAAACTTGACGTACGCGTCTCTTCAAGGTCATAGTTTACAGCAGGCGCTCTGCAAGTCTACTTTATAACAACTATAAACTTAATAAGTTGGGAAGCATGCTGTGAGCCAACAAATGTTGTAATTTGTAGATCATGCCTGTAAAAATGGCATGCATCTGCTCATGCAGATATATATTATTATTATATTACGAGTGAGACGACTTCCAGGTAGATATAGTAAAAATCTACGTATAACCCGTCAAACGATACGACGGGGCAACGTAATTTGGTAATAAGTTTTATATCACCAACAAACCTGCTAATTTGAAATAATATAACGAAATAGAAGTAATCTCAAGAGGTCTAAAACTTCAACAAGACACAGTCAGGAAATCATAGTATGAAATTTTATTGCATTATAATGATAGATTTGAACACAACATAAAATATTTAACTGTACAGCAAGTGTATTGTTCACTCACCACAAAACCTAACCACTGACAATAATTAATGACCAGGTCAAACAACATAAATGCCACAAAGAATGGTCATGTAAGAGTCTAAAAGATAACGAATAAGTGAACAGAATTTCTGCTCCGACTCATAAAACTGCCACATTGCATTCTTATTTTGCCAAATTAAATAACAAGCTTCGACGAAGAGTCAACATGGAGACGTTGATCCAAGATGGCTCGTTTAATAGCAGCCAACAACCATATATGTGCAAATGGTCCCACTGTCATGAACTGGAATGTTCAGCAAATAATATAGACGTCAACCGCCAGTTACTTCGAGGCAATCATAGAAAACCGAGGGTTTCCAAAACCAAAGCTGATGACAGTCAAAGTAATAAAACATATAGGGAAAGTGTTTACAAATCTAACTGTGGGTAAAAGTGTCAAATATGGGTTTGGATATAAACAATAATAAATTCGGTAAACATCGAGAAGCTCCACAGTGGAAGTTAGAACAATACACATGAGCAGATAATATTTTTTTGAAAACATGATTGTGAAAACAGGAAGATCTGTTTTCTCAAAATGTAAACAAATCCACCTTTTCTAAAGCGTTCCTCCGTAAATCTTGGCGAATATTATAATAAGGTATCTAACTTCTTCATGTAGACATATCTTGATAACTTGTTTAAATAAATACCCTGATGTTTCTACCAATGTTATATCCAAGGCCAGCTACAATGATCATGGCGCTTTGTGCGTTTTCACATTTGCCGCATGCTTTTTGTGACAGTTAATGGCCACTCTAAAAGTACCAAACAAAAAATAATAATTGCCTCTTATAATGGGAATTTGTTTGTGTCTTCAAAGGAGTACGAAACAAAGTCAGAACGACGGGGGTTCTCATTATTACCTAGGTTCCACTCCAACGACCGCAAACAATGCGGCAAAGTACCTATGTCACCAAACGCTTGAAGTTACGAATAATGGAACTACTTCTGACATTGCTCCAACGAACGTCAACCAAGTGACACTGTACAACCTCGGTCCTAAAAATTCTCTTGCCGTCTCGAGGAATGTTGTGGCTGATATGCATATGACTTGTGTAGCTGCTCAAAATAATGCAATTACGTCAGCAATATCTACCGTGTCTCCGGGGGAATTGGGGTCCAAGCGAGACCTTTGGTACAGGTCCGCGCTCTTTATTCGTATCAGGGCCACAACCAAGATGACCTCTCGTTCCAGAAAGGAGATATAATGTTTGTTATATCTGGTATGTCTGATGCATGGTGGTTTGCAAGACATTCCGATACTGGAATGAGTGGATACATACCCAGTAACTACGTCTGTCTGAATGATGGACTTCCAACTAGCTTGGATGCCTGGTATGACATAGGTCGACGTGAAGCTGATCGAAAACTTTTGCTAGTGGGGAACCCCAAAGGAACATACCTTATTAGACCTAGTTCAGGTGAGTTATCCGAAAATTTAACCTTTGTATAACAGCAGTTCTTGTACCACTTCAAACGAGAGACATCCTGAATTAGTTGTCATATTTTAGAAATGTTAGATCTATGTGGTTTTTGTATAAGACATAATATTAGAAATGAGTATATAACACTTGTAACTTCTCGAAAGTCATTGTTTGTATCAAAACTATGGTTCGCTAACTAGATATCCACGTTTATCACTAGTCGATTCATGGTGAATTTTCCCTTTCTTGTCATTTTAATATACATGCCGTGTAATTATATATATAATTCGTTAGCAAATAGACATCCAGTCGATCCTATAAGTAACGTAATTTTCCAAAAGTAATGCAATACTAGAATCGATGCGAAGATTTCGTTGGATATATATGTCACCGAAATTCTGAGACAAGTGAAGTAGTTGTTCGTTTAATTTGCTTCATTCCCCCATTATTAGACGGAGTAGATAATGACTGGTCCTAGGACAAGATCGCGGTTTGGGGTAAACTCATCTCAGATACTTTTACAATTGCTCAGGGCGATCAGGCGACTTCATTTTGTTAGTATTTCCACTAAACGGGACAATATCTTGTGGATATTTTAAGCTGAGAAATAAAACTGATAGCAACAAACAATTAATCTTATACGACAAGTAACCGATTATTTTCTTGAAACTGCGTTGGGATATTTCCACGATACACAAATCAAGTGACTTGTGTGGCACATATGTATTCGGTGCCCATTTGTACCAATGTTTGTGTGTTCAAATAAATAAATGATACTTGAAAGTGTCAGGTCGCTTTGTAACCGTGCCCATGCATAGTGTGTCCAAGCAACTATTTGCCAATAGATTTAAAACAACCAAACCAAGATATCACACTCTTAAACCGAGACGTTAACTGTTTCGCGTCATCTCTCAATTAGAAGAGACTATCGTTTAAGACCCACGAGTTAATTGTAGCCAATAGTCCCATATCTTAGATGATATGATTCAACGGCCTCTGAAACACTGATGTATTGATTCTAACTTCGAAATATCGAGCTTTGTATTGTTCCATTCTTTTCTTTTAAAATGGTATTGTTTACTTGGATCTTCCCATCGATGTTCAGGACTGCAATTGATCAGTCACTTATTGGCATATGTGCATACTGTGCGTATTGCCTTAATTCACAAGCATTCTAAGCAAAGATGGATAATGGCTAGCAATGAGACTCAGGATGCGCGATTTGTCCTGTTTGGGACTCGTGAGCTAGATAACGCGATGGCGTTTGAAGCGAACGGTACTGGGTTCGAGTCCAAGAGTGAACATCAACTCTTAGATGCAGGTACATCCAGCTGACGAGTTCCGAATGGGATGAAACACACGTCCTGGAATAAGCTGCTAGTCATGATCCGTCTTTGATTAGTATTTAAACCTGGTTTATTTTTTATTGACGATGTTGTATAAACCTCTCTTTTCGTCTTGTTAATTGGCTGATACAAAATTTCGTGACTTGTAACAATTAAGAATTTAACCTTGTCTTTATTGATGCTTGAGTCCGGTCACTACCATCTACCTGGTATCATACATTTAATGTCAGAATCGTTCCTAGTGACCCTAGCATGCCCGAACAATGCTTCAGACACCTATAATCAATTACATGTAACTTATGCATGCTTTTTACTCTCAAAGATCATATAAACTAAGTTCCTGGGCTTTATGATGGGACTGACATCCCCGCTGCGACTAAAGGTGTATGTATAAGGAAACTCTCAAGACATATAAAGCAGTCGACGTGCTTAGCAATGTTTCCTATAGTCAGCATAAGCATTAGCACAGATCAATTAAAAAGCAGCGTTTTGCTTTGAAAGACGTAAAACATCCCAAGCACTTCTTCTGTTATTCAAATAGTTTGATTTAGTCCGCATCTTCACGAAAGAGAACTATACCATCTGGTTATGCACTTTTGATCCAGTTCACTTCCTTTAAGTCTACTGATGTGAAGCGTGGCAACTTGTGACATTCCATACTCGTCCCATGTCCTACGTTGTTAGTTACCGCTATCTGCGTTGGCAAGAGATTATTCAGGCTAAAGACCATATCTGTAACCTAATTGAGTAAAAAGACATCGTAGACTGATTACTTCACCTCCCCAAATCAACCCAACGATAGCTAACAATATTTGAGGTTTTACACATGAAACCAGTTGACTTAAAGGTTTACCGAATTCGAAAGCTATTTATTTCGAGTTTCAGCTTTTAGGATTTTGTCTTGGTCTCCGTTTGATCACCCAAATGCCCTGGTACGGCAAAGGGCGTAAGACAGTCAGCTCTTTTCGAAATGCTCTCATATCATCACGCGTATATAGCCACTGACAAGGGAGTCCTACTCACTGCCTTCTCGCAGCGGGTGTTGTTTATGAAATTGAGAGAACGAAAATGAACACCTGGCGCTTTATCCGGGTTAGTGGATATGGAGGATCCACTTATGGGAGTTGGGATACCCCAATTCCAAACCAATGGTGCACGTGGGCTCCAGGATCTCGAGGGAACAAATGGTGTATGAACCTATTGTTGGTCACTGTCTGCCAAGAGAGTGTATCTCCTAACGTTGCTCCGCTGCTTTGTGAACTAGACCTCTAGGTTAAAAATTCGAGGAGTGGCCTCCTGGGAAAGCCACCTGCTTCGGTTTGGGCGCCCCAGCAGTATTCTGGCCCTCATGCATATCGAATGACGAAGTTGGGCGCATATATATTTGGTGATTCATTGTTACTTACGTCTGTTACTCCTAATGGAGCATAGGCCGCCGACCAGCATTCTTCAACCCACTCTGTCCTGAGCCTTCTTTTCTAGTTCCATCCGATTCTTGTTCATTTTTCTTATGTCTATCTCCTTTTCCCGGCGTAATGTGTTCTTTGGTCTTCCTCTTTTCCTTTGGCCTTGAGGATTCCATGTGAGGGCTTGTCTTGTGACGCAGTTCGGTGCTTTCCTCAATGTGTGTCCTATCACTTCCAGCGCTTCTTCCTGATTCCTTCCTCCGCTGGGATCTGGTTTGTTCTTTCCTACAGTTGGTTGTTGCTAATAGTGTCCGGTCAACGGATCCGAAGTATTTTGCGTAGATAACTGTTAATAAACACCCGTATCTTCTGGATGATGGCTTTCGTAGTTCTTCAGGTTTCCGCGCCATACAGTAGAACTGTCTTGACATTTGTATTGAAAATCCTGACCTTGGTGTTGGTTGACAGTTTCTTTGAGTTTCAGATGTTCTTCAGTTGTAAATATGTTGCTCTTGCTTTACCGATCCGTGCTTTCACATCTGCATCAGATCCACCATGTTCATCAATGATGCTGCTCAAATATGTAAAGGTTTTTACATCTTCCAAATCTTCTCCGTCAATTGTGACTGGATTGGTGCATCCTGTGTTGTATCGGAGAATCTTGCTTTTCCCTTTGTGTATATTGAGACCTACTGCTACTGAGGCTGCTGCCACACTGGTCGTTTCCTCCTGCATTTGTTGTTGCGATTGCGATAGGAAGGCCAGATCATCTGCGAAGTCTGGATCGTCCAACTGCATCCTAGATGTCCACTGTATCCCACGTTTCCCTTCAGATGTTGACGTCTTCATGATCCAGTCGATCACCAGGAGAAAGAGAAAGGGTGAGAGTAAGCAACCTTGCCTGACACCGGTCTTTACCTCGAACGAGTCTGTCAATTGTCCTCCATGCACAATTTTGCAGTTTAATCCATCATAGGGATTCCGTATGATATTGACTATCTTCTGAGGCACGCCGTAGTATCGAAGAAGCTTCCATAGTGTTGTTCTGTCCACGCTATCAAATGCTTTTTTGTAGTCAATGAAGTTGATGTAGAGTGATGAATTCCATTCAATTGATTGTTCCACAATGATCCGTAGAGTTGCGATTTGGTCTGTACACGATCTATCCTTACGGAATCCTGCCTGTTGGTCACGAAGTTGGGCGTCTATGCAGTCCTTCATTTTGCTTAACAGTACTATGTTGAAGACTTTTCCTGGTATTGAGAGAGGAGTGATGACTCTGTAGTTATCACACTTGCTTAGAACGTCCTTCTTTGGTATCTTGATCAGGTATTCTTTCCAGTCTGTTAGTACTTGTTCCTCATCACAAATCTTGCTGAAGAGAATGTGGAGTATCCCTGCAGTTGCCGCTACGTCTGCTTTTAGTGTCTCTGCTGGAATGTTGTCTGGTTCTGCTGCTTTTCCACTCTTGATTTGTCTGATGACCATGCTGATTTCTTCAATTGTTGGTGGACCAACATCGATTGGGAGGTCCGTGGGTGCTGCTTGGATATTGGGTGGGTTCGGTGGGGCTGGTCGATTCAAGAGTTCTTTGAAGTGTTTTACCCACCTGTTTCGTTGTTCTTCAATGTTGGTGATTACCTCGCCTTCCTTGCTTTTCACTGGTCGTTCTGGTTTGCGGCGATTTCCAGAGAGTTTCTTTGTCGTGTCATACAGTTGTCTCATGTTTCTTTCTCTTGCAGCTTTTTCTGCTGTCATTTCTAAATCTTCCACATATTTACGTTTGTCAGTTCTGATGCTCCTCTTCACTTGCTTGTTTACTTCTGTGTATTCAGCTTGTGCCTTAGCTTTTTCTGCTCTTGTTCGGCTGGTATTGATTGCTGCTTTCTTGTTCCTCCTTTCTTGAATCCTATCCAGTGTATCAACAGTGATCCATTCCTTGTGATGGTGCTTCTTGTGGCGCAGAACATCATGACATGTTGAAGTGATTGCTTCTTTGACCGCCTTCCAGTTGCCCTCCATAGTAATTCTTCTCCATTGAGTAGATCATGAAAGGCCTGGAACTTATTGCTGAGGACTATCTTGAATTCGTTGAGTTTGTCAGTATCCCGAAGAAAGGCCGTATTGAACTTTTTTGATATTGTCCGCTCCGTTGTCTAGTACTTCTTGAGTTTCCATTTCATCTTGGCGACCAGCAAGTGATGATCTGATGCTATATCAGCTCCTCTCTTGGTTCTCACGTCTTCCATCGTCCTCCTGAACTTTTTTGATGCAGATATGGTCGATTTGGTTTTGCGTGGTGTGATCCGGTGAAGTCCATGTGATTTTGTGAATGCGCTTATGTGGGAATATGGTGCCGCCTATGACCAGTTTATTGAAGGCACATAGGTTTGCAAATCTCTCACCATTTTCGTTTCTTTCTCCTAGTCCGTGTTGTCCCATGATGTCTTCATATCCGTTGTTGTCCATTCCAACCTTGGCAGGTGCTTCATTGTACCAATGTTTAAATAAATAAATACTAGTAACTTACGAGTATCGTCTACCCTTAATGGCCACAGTTTGCAGCCGTAAAGTAAAGCAGAGCGAACTGCTACTTAGTGTACTTGTTCTTTTAATTGATAGACTGGTATTTCACCTTCGCTATAGGCGACGTAAGTTGGTAAAAGCCAAACGAGATTTCGGGATCCGTGCAGAAATTTCGTCAGACACCAAACCATTTGGGCTGACCAGACTTTCAAGACTTTCAAGTCAACTTATCGACGCGTTCGATTACCCCTATCCCTATCCTTAGTTCAGGTGTTGACTCAGACCAGTCCTTAAGCAACAATTTGCATCCTAAACATCCTGGCATTGTTGCTGAATGCTACCAAACGACTGCATTTTATCAGCATCTTCATGAAACAGGACTATGTCATCTACGTATTCTAAGTCAGTAAGTGGGCCTATTGGTAGATCGATTCCCAAATATTTAGACAACAGGAACGTTATTTCTATCAGTAGGTCTATGATGAATTTGAACAAAAATGTAGATAATGGATAACATTAACGGACACCACTTGAAGTTGCAAAATAAGATGACAGTTCATCATAAGCTCTGACTCGGCTAGTGGAGTTCGAATAAAGAGCTTTCACAAGGTTATGTACTTTTGAGGTACTCCTTTCAATGACAGACACTGCCGCAGAACCTATTGGTCTACAAAATCAAATGCCGCTTCCAAGTCAAGGAAAACTATCATTGTCGGACGCCGATAAGTATATCTATGTTCTAAAGCCTGACGAATGTTGAATGTGGTTGATGCAGCCACCACTAGGTCTGAAGCCAGCCTGATTTTCTTGTGTTTGCAGTCCATCTATTTTGCTTTCATTACCTACTACTGCTCACGATGATTCCAAAGAACTTTGGTTAACCTAGATTTCACTTGTTTTCGCTCGTCATCGTGTTCGAAACCTAACAGGATGAGTTTATGACAATCTATCCGTGCAAGACTTATCATAAGTCCGTTGGTTTTTCGTGACCCTTTGGTTCAAATGACCAATAGATATCGCTGCTGTTTCTGTAGCTGTTCGTATATCTTTCTGTTAGCGGGATATAGATTGGTTTAAAGCATGTTACGTACAGGATTGTGATGGGGTACGCTGATTGGTTATTTTCTAACCAGTTAGTGCTAGCGGAAATTCGGTGAAGACTAGAGTCTTATGTAGAAATTATGAATATACTAACGCTTTTCTTATTGTGATTACTACTTCCACCAACCTTTTTATTTGAAATGTAAATACGTTCCTGTCCAACCGTGTTCTGATTTGGGGCTGGTCGAGTGAAGTAGTGTCCGAAAATACTAAGCAATAAGAGTACCTGGGTCAGCCTTGTTTTCGAAATTGCCTAAGTGTAATTTCAGTTGTTCCTGGAATCTACCTTTGACTTTCTCATCGCTAAGTTCAACTCAAATGGGTCTTCTTAATGTAGTCTTTCTGCGTCCAGTGAGGCGCAAGCAAATATTTGCTCGTATTAGAACATGATCGGAGTCTAAACATGTATTCCAGAACGAGCGACATGCTTCTACCGAGCCTCTCCAACTATGACTGACGGCAATATGGTCTATTTGAGTCCATCGTTGGTTTGGTGCACTGGATCCGCCATGTTAGACGATGTCTCTCCTTATGCTTAAACTCAGTGCTTGCTAAAAATAAACGATTGTCTGAGCACAGTTGTAGTAGACGATAACCATTATCTGTTTGCTGGGCTGGAATACGCAGGATACGCACCTAAATGTCCTTCTATTTGGTTTAAGCTACCTACCTGGGCATTAAAGTCCCCTGTTTTGAGTACTATGACTGAGTGTTTAGGTTTTTTGAAGAAGTTCAGAAAGCATTCTATGAAATTCATCTTCCACTTCATTCAGTGGGAGCGTAGGCAGAAATGACGAAAAAGCAACTACGTTTATCCCAATCCTTTTGAGTTCCTACGGGGTTGTTTAATCGGATCCAGGGATCCAATCTGAAAGTATTTCTTCTACCCCCGCACTCAGTGCTATGCCTACACCCGCCAGTTCACGAGAGCTAGCCATCAGGTTGCTAGATAAACGGAGGGTGTATCTCGTCGGCTCTCCGTTTTGGCGAGGTGAGGTCAAGTAAGTGATCGCACTAGGACCCTGTATGCGTGTTTCGAAGACACAGCATACATCAATGATACGAGATTCTAGGTTTTTAGCCAAGGAGACCTTCTGGCCGATTCCACACAAGGGACGTACGTTAAAGGTTCCAACGTGTAGTTTGGAGTGAGGTTTTATTAGACTTGAGAGTGTTTCGCGCACTAGAATCTTTGGTCATGGTGACACTTGAGGAGGAAGTTTGGAGTTGAAAGTCAAGTTAAGAGAAATAATAGGAATTAAAGAGGGAAATCGATTATGAAAACAGTGATCTTGAGTGCTATTAGAGGTATGAGGGCGGTTATCACTTCCCGGTTGCCCACACCGTGGAAGGCTTTTCCTAGAGGTACATGAAAAGGGAATTGGGTTAGTTGGTCTTAGTGACCTGAGTGTGTGACCGCAGTGTCTAAGGGACAACTGCCTGAGGCCGGTCACACACGAACTTTTTGTGAGTAACTGTTGTGTTGGCTCCGTACTTGTTGAGACCTTATCGCCGGAGACGGAAATCCATGGGATAAGGTGAGGTGTGCATTTTTAGGGTCGACCTTTTCTAACCCCATCCTTCGTTTGTATGAAGGGTGGCTTAGACATGCCTTAGGAACTCGACATTGCGCACTATTTACTGACCTTGTGACCGGTTGGAAAAGCAGAGAGGTATTCGTTGCACGACTTGATGTCGTGGTATGAAAGAAAGCTGTGCAGGACTGGCTTCTGCCGGACCTTCGCGACCCCAGGTTGGGGTCCTACATATGGTGCACCACATTGGCTTGAGACGTTATCAGACATGACTCAGAATAGAAGCCAGCGGCAATCCTGTAGTATGTTTCTTTTACTTCATTAAAGTAAACGTAATTTCCCTAACTGAAAGAATTTTTTCGGGTTGTATATATCTTGCCTGAACTGCTTTTCCCATTATTGATATTATTATTTCACTCTCATACGCTATTTTTTGTTGATTGCTGCTCTTCTTTTATTAAGCCCATCCTCCATTTTCTAACTCCTTAGTACCTCATTGTGTGACTCATATGCATTTGATGGCCCATTGCGACAATGTTTGTGTGTTTAAATAAATATATAACTCGAATGGTCATAGCAAAAGCCGTCAAATTGTCTTATAAAACCAAAATGATAATTTGCACTCAATAGGGAATCTATATTCCTTAGGCCTTAAGTATTTACATCTGTCATTTCACATCCTCAATCTTTGATTATCTTCAGAATTTTCGCCATGCAATTCTTAATATATGTGTATCTGGCAAATTCCTCTCAAATATTTGTATATTGGTAAATTTATGGACATTCATGAATTGTAACATATTAGACTTCTCCAGTCACTCATTTGCTGGCTGTCATAATAGTAGACTAAAACAGTGACCAGGGGTGAATTTCACACGTTCTTTCAACATGTATTTGTGGTAATTAAAGAATAGCAATCAGAATAAGCGGTTCAAATTTGACTTATAGTTTTGGATTTTATTTAGTGTACTCTGTAGTTGGTCGTACGTACGTACGAAGTTCTACGTTGTTACTGACTGACTAACAGGCTTTTAACATATATACTCTGTCTTACGCTTTCACTATTTTCTTTCGCATTTAATTTCCGTAATGCTTATCCTTATTTTGCGCTGCTTGATAGAATCTCTTTTAATTTCTGAAGTGTAGTAACTTGGGTACTGCGTTATATCTATCTGTGTACGCATGTATTTTCAAACTTAAGTAAAGTGATAGGGTTCGCGTATGTCTTGTTTCGTCACCTGATAATACAAATAGCTAGGGTAAAAGACATTGTTGCTACCATCGTCCGTACTACGCAATTACATATTAAAAAAAGCAATCTCTTAACATGTCACTGAATTATCGTTATTTTATGGATATAATTTATATTCATGTTAAATAGGTAATATTGTTGCTCTCTTTTCTGTATGATCATCATATTTCAGTTTTTTCTTATTTTTATCTAGAAACCCAGAATTATGCACTCTCTGTTCGACATTATGACTCCGAAAAAAATATGTGGGTTGTAAAACACTATCGCATTCGGATCCTTGATAATAACGGTGGCTTCTTTATTAGTATTCGCACGACCTTCCCGAATATTCAGGACCTCATAAATTATTATACAGGTATAGTGTTAGATATTCCACATAATTTATTTTTATAATTTCTTGTAACCATTATATCATTCAAACTCCTTCTGTAGCTCTTCTAGGGTCACAAACCCGGGTAAAGGGGAAGGGTTGAGCGTGGGGTCAGCAACCCCATCTCGTAGAAAAAAACCTGGCTAAAAAACGCTAACCAGAATAAACAATTTAAACCATTTAAACTCTATCCTGGGAGCTAAAGGATCGTTCAGAAGAATTAGGGTGCCTACATTCATTTTTAGATCAAATTTTTGGCTTATCTGACTGGTGAGTCTTTGAATTATGATTTTCCTTGTTGTTTTCTCTCTCGAAACCTCTCATACACATTCTTGTCATCAAAATCCCCTAACATCAGTTTGTCTCTAGACTAGAAACAAATCTGCCAATGTTCAATGTAGGTTTCACTGTAAAGTTAAATGGTTGTACATTATTTTCTGGCGACAATGACTAGTTTTTTCAATCATAACTTTAAACTACTGCGATCTGAATCGATTCACTTAATTCTTAAGAGCTTTAATAATTCATTTATACAAATCAAAATAATAGCTCTCATAAATATTCAAATATTCGGTATGGAAACTATTTTTCATAATACTGTGATCAATATTAAGGTGATAAATCTATAAATCATCCATACCACTATTTATAGCATCAAAAATCACTCTTGCCAAAAATAGTCGAGTCATCAGTAATGATTTTTAGCAAAACAGTTTAATTCATGTCTATAGCTTTATGTTTTTCAATGAGCCTGAAATAAAATCGACATTGTAGAATTAGCAATGGCGTTAAATGAACTGTAAGATATAGAAATTCCTGGATCTGTCTAAAGCGTATTCTAGTAGCTACTAATGAACTATTTGTCTAACACAAAAAGAAGACTGTAAACACACGTGAAGATATTGTATTGGAACTAGATAAATAATATACAAAAGAAATATCTTTCCATACAGGTATGATATCCGTTGCTTCGATATATGATGAATTCAGTGAGGCTGATCTATTCAAGAGTTCCTCGAAGTGTTCTATCCACCTGTTCCGCTGTTCTTGAATTTCAGTGATTGATTTGCCTTCTTTGTCCGTGACCGGTCACTCTGGCTTATTATATTTCCCTGCCAGTTTCTTCATCGTGTCATATAACTGTTTTATATCTACTTCTCTTGTAGCTTTTTCCGTTGTCGTTGCTAGCTCTTTCACGCATTGCTAATTATCGACTCTAATGATCCTCTTCACTTTCTCGTTTATTTATGTGTATTTATCTTGTTAATTGAATTTCTCTGTTCTTGTTCAACTGGTGTCAATCACTTTTATTGATCACCAGTAGGAATCAATTTATCAACCGATATACTTAAAGTGGCCTAAGGTTTTTTTTCATGACTTCTTCAATTACTAAGTACAAACATTTATTCACTGCTTCGAGACATCTTTGTTCCAATGGTTTAGCAGAAAGTTTTATCAAAACTATGTAAGCTGTTATCAATCACATTCCGCCTGTAGCTCTTCTACATTTATTATTTATTTATTTATTTATTTATTTATTTATTTATTTATTTATTTATTTATTTATTTGAACACATAAATATTGGTACAAGAATGCGCCAATATATATGCGCCACACAAAACAATGAGAATTTAAGGGGAAGGAGAAAAAAAGAGATTGATGTAAGGTGGTGTAATAATAATAATGGTAAAAATGGCAGAACAGACAGGTACAATCAGAAGAAATCTTTCAGGTAAGGAGACACAACCACTTTTTATGAAGAAAGTAAAAGGTTACAGCAGGATCGCCACTGGCTTCTATTCTGAGCCATATCTGATAACGTCTCTAGCCACTGTGTAGCACCATCTCTCGGACCCCAACCAGGGAGTCGTGAAGGACCAACACAAGCCAGTCCTTTGCAGCTTTCTTTCATGCCACGACACCATGTCATGCACTGACCACCTCTCCGCTTCTTCCAACCAGTCCCAGAGTCGGCAAATAATGCACGACGTGGAATTCTCTGGGACGACATTCGGAGAACATGTCCAAGCCACCGAAGTCGGTGTTTCAAGATGGTGACACCAATTGAATTATCATCTCTGTGCCCGAACACACGATGCCGAACCTCTGCATTACTGACATGGTGTTGCCACTGAATGTCAGCAATCCTTCGGAGACAGCGATGATCGAACACAGAGAGTCGTCTAACGTCCTCAACTCGGAGAGGCCAGGTTTCACAAGCATAGAGCAAAACTGCTCTCACCGACGCGTTGTAGATCCGACCTTTTACAGCCAGACTAACATCACGAAGGCGCCAAAGGTGGCCCAGATTGGCATAAGCCGCTCTGGCTTTCACTATTCGTGCATTGATCTCATCACTCACACCCCCACCAGCACTTATGCAGCTACCCAGATACACGAACTTCTCGACTACGTCTATCTGCTCACCATCCAGGGTGAGTACAGGATTAGAATCCTGCCAGTCTTGTAGAAGTACTTTGCACTTCGAAGGTGCAAAGCACATACCATACCTACGGACACTGATTGCCAACTGATTAAGTGCGGATTGCATGCCTTGGGCATTATCGCACAGTAAGACAATATCGTCCGCATACTCAAGGTCGAGAAGTCTTTCTCCAGGCAACAGATCCACACCACCATTACTTACATTCATCAGAGCTGTTTCCAGAATGTCATCGATGGCAAAGTTGAAGAGGAATGGTGAGATTGGGCAACCCTGCCTAACCCCACTGCTCGAATGGAACAATGGAGAGAGGTGGTTGTATGCCCTCACTCTGCCTGAGGTGTTTTTATATAGGGCTTTTAGGATGTTAATAAACTTCTCAGGCACACCCTTCTTCAATAGACAATCCCAGAGAACAGTCCTATCCAACGAATCGAAGGCAGCCCTGATGTCAAGAAACACTACGATTGTTGGCCTTTGAAAGTATGGCGGTGTTCTAACATTTGGCGGAGGGTGAAGATATGATCAATACATCCTCGACCAGAACGAAACCCAGCCTGCTCCTCGCGAGTCAATCTTTCTCGGGTTTTGAACAACCTACGAAGTATGACGGAAGCCAATAGCTTGGACGCAATCGGAAGTAACTTATCCCCCGATAGTTGTTACAGGAACGACGTGAACCCTTTTTAAAGATAGGGACAACTATCGACTCATTCCATGACGTTGGTACACTCTCTAGTTCCCAAACCTTTGTAAACAACGTCGTCAATTCCTTAGTCAAAAAGTCACCACCATCTTTAAAAAGAGCCGGAGGTAAGTCATCTGGGCCAGGTGATTTGTAACGCTTCAAGAGTTGGAGTTCCTTGCGGACTTCCTCCTCGTTTGGTGGATCAGTCGTCACCGGCCATGGAGGGCAGGACAGTCTGACCGATGTTGCCGGAGCAGCAGGCCAGTTGAACTGCCCTTCGAAAAATTCTGCCCATCGTCCAAGACGTCGATGGATGTTAGTGATTGGCATCCCATCATCCTCGCAGATTGTTTCACTCACACCAGACTTCTTGCTGCCAGTGGCTCGGATGAGTTGGAAGAGCTTCCGGTAGTTACCAGATGCAGCTGCTGCTTCCAGCTCATTAGCACGCATCGACCACCAGGCTTCTCGGTCCTTACGCAAGCTTTGCCCAATTTCCTTACGTAACATCCTTCGTTTATGGTCAAACTCACGGTCACCCGGAGTAGACCGACGGGCTTCAATGAGTTGTAAGGAACCAGAAGAAACCCAGTGCTTAAAGCGGGACGTTTCGCAAACCCACAACTGACTGTTCCCGCCATTTTCATGGCGTCATGCAATTGCAACCAATGCTCATCTATACTTTTCGGTGGAGTGGTAGCTAGCCTAGAGGCTAGCTCGGTTCGATACTTACTTGCAACAGAAGTTGCAACCAGCTTGCTAACATCAATCCGTTGATGGCGTCACTTCGTTGTCCACTGAAAAGTAAGGCAAGATTGGCGCAGACCAAGGCATGGTCAGAGTCCAGATAGGTACTCCAAAAGGAGCGGCAGTCTTTACACAACCACGCCAGCGGTAGCTGATCGCGATGTGATCAATCTGAGTCCAGGCTTGAGATGCAGAGGGAGGACGCCAGGTGGCACATCGGCGATGACTGTGCCGAAAGTTAGTGCTAGCCAGAAACAGGTTGTGGTCTGTGCAAAGTTGCAGTAGACGGTCCCCGTTATCTGACCTGCGACCAACGAGTCCCCATCGGCCACCTAAACGACTCTCTTCTGTGCCTAGACGCCCGACCTGAGCATTCAAGTCTCCGGCTAGTACTACAATATCTGTCGAACGCACTTTCTGGAGAAGAACAGATAACTGGTGGTAAAACTCATCCTTGATTGCATCCGGGCTGCAATCTGTCGGGGCATAGGCGGAGATGACGAAAAGACATCGTTTCTCACGCCGATTTCTTCTCACTTTGATGGAACTTTCTAATCTAACAGCACATAACCGACTGTTAATGGGGATCCAATCGACTAGTGCTGCCTCAGCTCTAGCGCTTAGTGCGACACCAACGCCAGCAAGACCAGACGAAGATGCCACAGGGTCCCCGGATAAGCGCACGTAAAACAAGCTTTTCGAAGCGACAGATGGAGATCGAATTTGTAGTACTTCGCCAGAGTCTTGAATACGGGTCTCGGATAGACAACAACATCGATATTAAGACTTTCCAAAGACATAGCCAGCCCTATCTGTTGTCCGACCTGCATAAATGTGCGAACGTTGAAGGCAGCCAGTTTGAATGGTGCACGTGGTTTCAGAAAAACTGCTTCAGTACTCATATTCGGTGGTAACATACAATTTTCAACCGGACAGTGACTCGAGAACGTTTAGATAGAGTCGAATTTCCACCAAAGTCGAGCTGCTGTATAAACCGAAAAAATAAGTATAGACGGAGTAGGAATAAAAGAGGGTGAATAATGATGTAGTAAATAATAATAATAATAATAATTTGAATCATTTGACTGTTATTTGGAGCGAGAAATGTAGTTTCCATAGATATAGATAGTTCATCATTTGCGTGTGGGCTGTGATACTGCCCGGATGCCCAGACCGAAGCAGGTGGTTATCTTAGGTGGCCACACCCCGAGCCTTTGACCTAAAGGTCTAACCCACAAGGCAGTGGAGCATCGTAAGGAGATGCATTCCCATGGTAGCCGGTGACCGAAAATTGGTTCATACGCCATTCGTTCCCGCAGGATACTGGAGCCCATGTGCACCATTGATTTGGAATCCGGTTAAAGCGCCGGACATTCGCTTTTCGTCCTCCCATTTTCGTAAACAACACCCCCGCCACGAGAAGGCAGTGAGTAGAACTTTCCTGGCAGAGGCTGTATACGCGTGGCTATGTGAGAGTATTTCGAAAGGGAGGGCGGACCCACCCCGCTCTAGACCGTACCAGGGCATTTGGGGGCCCTTCTACATTTACTGTAGGTCCTAAGCCTGGGTAGAGAAGGAGGGTTGGGCGTGGGGTTAGGGACCCCATCCCGTAGAAAACACTCTAAAAAAACGCTAACCCGAAGGAAAACAATTCAAACCATTTAAACTCTACCCTGGGAGTCAGAAGGTCTTCATTTAGAACAACTATGACGCCTCATGGTGAAAGCCTAGTTCCTTCGGAAGTCACGAAGCCGATGCCCCTTCTAACAACCAAAGCAACAATTTTTATAGGTACACGGAACGTCCCGACAATGTGGGAGACTGGGAAGACCAGTCAACTAGCAACGGAAATGAGGAGATACAACTTGGCAGTACTGTGAATAAGCGAAACCCATTGGATCCAAGCTGAATAAAAAAGGCTAGATACGAGAGAGACGCTGTTATACTCCGGTCACGAAAAGGAAGATGCTCCGCACATTCAGGGAGTTGTTCTAATGCTGTCCAAAATAGCACGAAATGCACTTGTGGGATGGGAATCTCACGGATCCAGAATCATCAAAGTGTCATTCAAAACAAAGAAGGAGGGGATTACAATTTATGTTATCTAATGTTATGCACCCACCAATGATAGCAATGACGTAGATAAAGATCAGTTTTACGATAGGCTGCAATCGATCACAGCGAGGTGCCCAGTGAAGAATCTGACCATCCTGATGTGAGATCTAAACGCCAAGGTTGGAATAGACAACACTAGATATGAAGATATCATGGGACTACATGGACTGGTAGAGAGAAACGAAAATGAGGAAAGATTTGCAAAGCTGTGTGCATTCAACAAATTGGTCATAGGCGGCACAATATTTCTACACAAACGTATACACAAAGCTACATGGATCTCACCGGACCACACTACAGAGAACCAGATAGACCATATCAGCATCAATAAAAAGTTCCAAAGGACAATGGAAGATGTGACAACCAGGAGAGGAGCTGATATAGCTTCAGATCACCACCTAGTTGTGACCAAGATGAAACTGAAGCTAAAAAAGCATTGGACAACTGGGAAAACAGCATTATGAAGGTTCAATACAGCCTTCCTTTGACATGCTGGCAAGCTCAACGAATTCAAGATAGCTCTCAACAACAGGTTCCAAGCCTTACAGGATCTACTGAAAGAACAAGAAACTACTATGGATGAAAACTGGAAAAATATCAAAGAAGCATTAACTTCAACGTGTCAAGAGGTTCTGGGCCTCAAGAAGCATCATCATAAGGAATAGATCTCTATAGAAACAAGATCAAAGAAATGAAGAACAAGAAGACAACGATTAACAACAGACGAACACAAGTAGAGAGAGTCAATTAACAAGATAAATACACATAAATAAACGAGAAAGTGAAGAGGATCATTAGAGTCGATAATTAGCAATGCGTGAAAGAGCTAGCAACGACAACGGAAAAAGCTACAAGAGAAGTAGATATAAAACAGTTATATGACACGATGAAGAAACTGGCAGGGAAATATAATAAGCCAGAGTGACCGGTCACGGACAAAGAAGGCAAATCAATCACTGAAATTCAAGAACAGCGGAACAGGTGGATAGAACACTTCGAGGAACTCTTGAATAGATCAGCCTCACTGAATTCATCATATATCGATGCAACACCTACAGACCTTCTTATAGATGTCACTTCACCAACGATCGAAGAAATCAGGATGGTCATCAGAAAAAACAAGAGCGGGAAAGCAGCAGGACCTGACAATAAAGCAGCTGAAGTCAGACATCAAAGTAACTACAAACATGCTGCACATTCTATTCAGGAATATTTGAGAGGAAGAACAAGTGCCGATGGATTGAAAGCGAGGATACCTCATCAAGATACCAACGAAAAGAGATCTGAGCAAATGTGAGAACTACAGAGGCATCACACTATCGTCAGTAGCAGGAAAGTTTTTCAACAGAGTTTCGCTGAACCGGATGAAAGACGCAGTAGACGCCCAACTTCTAGTGATCGACTGGATTATGAAGACCTTGACATCTGAGGGAAAACACGAAATACAATGAACAACTCAGATCCAATTGGACGATTCAAACTTCGCAGATGACCTAACCCTCCCATCCCATACACACGAACAAATGCAGATGAAGAAAACTAGTGCAGCAGCAGCTTCTGCATCTGTAGGCCTCAACACACACAGAGACAAAAGCAAGATTGCCAAATACAACATGGAGAACACCAATCCAATCACACTTGATGGAGAAACTCTGGAAGATGTGGAATCTTTCACGTACCTGAACTGCATCATCGATGAACAAGGAGAATCAGATGCGGACGTAAATGTGAGGATTGACAAAGCAAGAACAGCATTCCCACAGTTGAAGAACATATGGAACTCAAAACAACTGTCAACCAATATCAAAGTTAGAATCCTCAATACGAACGTCAAGACTGTTCTAATGTATGGAGCTGAAACTTGGTGAACTACCACAACCATCATCGAAAATGTACTAGTCTTTATAAACAATTGTCTGTGTAAGATACTCAATGTCCGTTGGCCGGATATCATCATCAGCAGCCTTCTGTGGGAGAGAACAAGTCAGCTTCCAGCTGAGGAGGAAATTAAAAAAGACGTTGCAAGTGGATAGTACACTCATTGAGGAAATCATCAAATTGCATCACGAGACAAGCGCCAACTTGGAATCGTGAAGAGAAGTGGAAAATTGGAAGGCCAAAGAACACACTGAGTCGGGAATTGGAAGTAGACATGAAAAGGATGAATAGCAACTGGGAACAGCTGGAAAGGATGTCCCAGGACAGGGTTGGATTAAGAATGCTGGTGAGAGGCCTATGCTCCTCCAAGAGGAGTAACAGGCGCAAGTAAGATTATATTATTCAGAAAATCACTTCATCCTCACATTTCTATAGAGCTCTTAATTTGGCTATAGTTTTTAGGATAGATAATATTATTAATTCACTATATGTCATTATTTTCTCATATATAATTCGAAAATTGTTTTGATCAGCATCTTGTGAAAAATTCAGTCTCACACAAGAGTGATTTATTTATTTTCAAGCTTATTTGATTTGGAATAATGTTATATGGAAACAAACATCAGAGTTTTTTATTTCCATCTTATTCAGTAACTGAGTGGTTCCTGCAAAACAGTAAGCTTCACTGTGTAGAAGTTCCTTTGTACCAAATAATCCATTCACTTCTATCTTGAGGTAAATAATTACCTCTGAAAAAATGATGCTGATGATTGATAATAGTCAGTCGGTCCGTTATCATCAGTTTAAGAACCGGTAGCAATATCCATCAGCCCAAGTTGTAATACCAAATTAGCACAATGAGATGAAATTGATAAGTAAAATAACAAAATGTGTCAGTTTAGTTCAACCTGCGTATGGTAATCCGTTTAGCTACATTCTGGTGAATGAAGTAACGTGATAAAACGGTCTTGTTTAGATTAGGTTATTTGTTTTATAGAATGAAGAAAGCTTAAATGAAACGTTACTACATTGTAAATTTGTTCCAAACACTAAAGTATAATTGACATTTTGGGGAAAGAGATTTCTCTTTTTAAATTATTTTCATAATCATTACTTATCAGATTTTAAAATATTTTACTCATTCACTTAAATATGGCGCGAATATTTTGTTTTACAGTACACCCAGATGGTTTATGCTGTCGATTGTCTATCCCATGCCCACGTGCATATCGTCCACCCGTGCAATTTCGTGATTTTGAAATTAATCGTGATAGCATAACAAGAATTCGAAAGTTGGGTCAAGGTACATTTGGAGAAGTCTATTTAGCTAAATGGAATGGTTCAGTCGAAGTAGCAGTTAAAATGAGACTCGATCCTACAGATCGTAGTCGATTTATTGAAGAAGCACGCCTTATGCATGCTTTTCATCATCCACGTATTGTTCAACTTTTGGGCGTATGTACTGAACCGGAAGACCAACCAGTTTATATTATTACTGAATTAATGCGCAAAGGAGCTTTATATGATTTTTTACGTACAGAAGAAGGACATAAATTGACTTTGGATGATTTAATTGATATAATGGCACAGGTGTGTGTACATTTTTGTTACTATTTTAAGTTATTTGTACAACCAGTTTTCGCTTTAAGTGTTTACCATCTTCAGAAGCTAAATTATGATATATTGTTTGTTTTTGTTTACTAGCTTGCCATCCTTGTTGTATCTGTAAATAATGATGAGGCTAATTGGCACAATAATTAAACTGACAAAAAAGATAGTGGTATGTTGAAAATTAGATGTCATTTACTGGTGAAGATTTCATAGATTAGTGTTCAGAAACAATCTAGATGTTGATTCTTCAACTTCAACATTATAAATCTCGGGTTGCATTTCTGATACTTATTTAGTGCTTGTGTAGAGTAATGACTTAGTGGTTAATCCATTCAACTTCTAACCAATATCTCTGATATTCCAACCCCCACTTAGTATAAATAGACCTCACACAAGGTGTGACTCATTAGATAAGCATGTACTTGTCATTTGGCAAATAAATCACATATATAATATTTTTCTGTTCGGGAATACAAACTTATCATATTTACGTTCGGTAGTATTATCAGTGACCGTTGTACACTGAACCGAAGGTCCGAGGGCGAAGTCGTACTGCTGACTGTACAGAGGTGTGACGGCAATAAGGTGTTTCCTTCAGACAACCAGCATAACAGCAACACTTTCTTCCCACAAACGAAGGATGGGGTTAGAAAAGGTCGACCCTAAAAATGCACACCTCACCTTATCCCATGGATTTCCGTCTCCGGCGATAAGGTCTCAACAAGTACGGAGCCAACACAACAGTTACTCACAAAAAGTTCGTGTGTGACCGGCCTCAGGCAGTTGTCCCTTAGACACTGCGGTCACACACTCAGGTCACTAAGACCAACTAACCCAATTCCCTTTTCATGTACCTCTAGGAAAAGCCTTCCACGGTGTGGGCAACCGGGAAGTGATAACCGCCCTCATACCTCTAATAGCACTCAAGACTACTGCAATGAATTTAACGTACGGTCTGTTATTTTAGGATTATTGCACAGTGATAAAGTCAAATTGTCTGTCTTATTATATTTATTTGACATTAATCAATGTATTCCACGGGACGATGTATTGTAATTTATGAAATTAAAATAATATGAAAAAGGAATAATAAGGAAGATATCATGTTACATTTTTTTGTGTTAATTTAACCTAGGTATAACGATGTCAGAATAGATTACTCAATTTGAAAGTTTTTTTCCTATCATAATAATCGATCAATATTTCGCTTTACGACAAAATACGAATTGTGTATTTTATATCACTCAAAAATAGCCGAAAAATATTAATCTTTGGAGTGTTCCTCCTTCACTTCAGTTTAGCTTTGGATGCTCATTGGAAATATACTAATTCTTTGGTGTTTTGTGAATTCAACTTATTATATATAGTGTAATAAATAGATACAATTTTGTTTGCTTTCTTGGGAGGAAACTAACAGTATTTTGTTTATTTTAATTTGATAGATGATTGATTTACAACTAGTTATCTATATTTCTTTTTGTGTGCCTTCCTACGACTGTTATTGTTTTTCAAAAAAGCCAAACCATTACTATACTGACATTTAATGTATTAGCTTATATTTTATTAGTTAAATCAATTCACTAAGTATTGGCTGATGTCATGTTTATCAAGCACTTCCTAGTGCTGATTGGAATCTATCAACGAAGTTGTGATTCGACCACTAGTTTGAGTGATTCGACATCACCTGAACATGTTGAGATGTTACGTGGTTGAGCTACTAATCATCACTAAAGACTTGACAAACGGAACATTAGCCACGACTCAATGGTCAATCAGTTGTGAACATCTCAATCCTAAAAAAGGTCAACAGTGGCTCAAATAAGTTGGATGCCCCAAAGTTCACCAACTCTACCAAGATTACCTGTACATCTTTCTGACGAGTGCCAAATAACACGGAACATATATCCATTTTTTTGTTATCGAAATGTGATCCACTTTCGTTTCGCACAACTGCGTATTGCCACGTAAACCTTACCTGACAATAGTCTACCCTAAAAAGCCCGAATATATTAGCTGATAACTGTTTACTGAGTCATATATATAGAACATGGCCTCTAAAAGTAGGAGGTATTCGTAGGCTACTAGTGTTCGATTACAGTTGTCTTCGGAGCCTTGCTCGTATATTTATTTATTTTGATGGTAAACCAGTTGATGAGGTTGTAAATCTTCATCGACTGAGATGTTTTGGCCACGTGTTACGTATACCTGAACATCGATTACCACGACGCGCAATGCTGACTAGTGTTGCAGATGGATGGAAGTTAGGGGCGGTCAAACAAAAACGTGGCATCAGTCTTTGAAGTCACTAACTTCTAGTATGAGCCATGTAGGTAGGTGCAGACTATCCGGTTAGGATCCACGTGATTATCATAACCAATCGTTAGAGATTTTAAAATCGTTCGCGATGACGCAGGTACAGTTACTCTTATTTTCTCCTACGTCCTAAGTTTCTCATAAATTTACTTTATGATTTAACTAATTTATATTTCCCTCTCGAACTGTATCATGAATTTTTAATCTTTTTTATTGCCGTTAATCCTGTTACTACATGTACTACTCTGGGATTCCCTCTGACAATTTCATCTCTGTGCTAATAAGGTATCGCAACTTGAACCAATATATACAGGTACCAGGTTCTGCGTTACAACTGGTTGACTGTGCATTAATGTTCACTACATTTGCTAATTAAATTAAATTCAGATTAACCTTTTTTCTTTTTGAATTTCAATCGTACAGATTGCTAGTGGTATGTCGTATTTGGAAGAAATGAATTCTGTTCACCGAGATTTACGTGCAGCTAATATCTTAGTGGATCAAGATTACTCAGTTAAAGTTTCAGATTTCGGATTGGCTAAAATCATTAGCGATGATTCTCATGCTGATCCAAGTAAGGAAAACCTGGTTTCTCGCTTGTCATTGTGTAATGGATTTATGAAACCGAAATATTTACAATTTCTTCTGAAAGATAATCACACACCATGTTGAATTTTCATCGTTAAGATCGTTGTTGAAACGTTTTTATAAGTAATACTTTAATTAATAATTACATCTGAAAACCTAATTAATAGGGGCACTGCAATTTACTTCATTTCGAAATAACACGGATATAGATAAATAAACCCAGATTTTGAAGTTGTCCTAACAATCTCATCTTGATTGTTAACTATTTTCAATTTTCATGGACTTTATATCATGAACTGCTCTTAGACCGCCATTAAAAACCGGAGAGCATTGGAAAGCCGTTTCGTCCTAGTGTGGGATTCTTCACCAATTCACACCAACTGCCACCCCTCTGCAGAGGATAGAACCTAGGACCTTCTGTTTGAGTTATGAACTTATTTCTGTTCACTGAGTACTATGAGACAAAACCTGATGTTATTCCACTGCCTTTCTGGCCAAACGTTCTTGTTAAAGAATCGTTTGGAGTAACTACTTGGTAAAACCACCTGTTTCGGTTTAGGCAACTTAACAATATGCCAGCCCACACGCAAATATTTTTGTGTGGCTCATACTATTTTTTGACCTCCAGTTATACCAGATTCTATGTAAAATAGATACATACGACAAAATGTTATTTTTATTATTTATTCTACCTATAGTTTATATAACAACAGAAAAGATTTTTTTTATCCTACCAGTTTAATATTTATATGAAATTGGTTTTTTAGTTCACCTAATTGTTGAAGTTATTTTTTTCTTTCTCTCCCCTTAAGATACTAAATTTCCTATTAAGTGGACAGCTCCAGAGGCGGCTTTACAGCATATCTTTAGTATAAAGTCTGATGTATGGTCGTTTGGTATATTGATGTATGAAATAGTCACTTACGGTGGAACGCCTTATCCAGGTAACCAGTGCTGTTCATCAAAATTTTTGCGTTCCGTTCATAAAAAATCGGTATTTTGATTACTCGTGGCTTATTTCTATATGTTACATATTTTGATTTGTGGTAAAAGTCTTTTCTCATCGCTTACTATTATATATAGAATTCATTTATTTGGACACATAAATATTGGTACAAAGGGGCACCGAATACATATGGGCCACACAAGTCACTTGATTTGTGTGTGAGCTGTGATACTGCCCAGCAATAGGTTCATACACCATTTGTTCCCCCAAGATCTTGGAGCCCATGTGCACTATTGGTTTCGAGTCGGGGTTTTCCAACCCCCATAGGTGAATCCTCCATATCCGCCAACCCAGTTCGAGAGCCTGACATTCGCTTTTCGTCTTCCCAATTTCGTAAACAACATATCACGAAAAGGCAGTGAGTAGGACTTCCCTGACAGTGGCTGTATACGCGTGGCCATATGAGAGCACTTGGAGAGGGAGAGCGGACTCTCCCCATCCTCGGCCGTACCAGGGGATATATAAGGGCTAGTCTCAGCCAACCATTTGTCGAATATTCGTGATCAGTAAGAGATTCGAATACCTAACTCCAATGATCTAATAATCAAAAATTCTTATAGCCAATAATAAAGTTCAAAACTATGTACAATATCCTTCTTGTCTGTTGATTAGTGAAATATGATACTGTGGAATTGGTTTATTCAACGCATTCGGGGTCAGGTTGTAAATGGATTGATAGTAATTTGTCCAATTGTTCTTTCTCGTATTTTTTTTTGGATAATATATCTCTGGTGATGTAGAATGGATAGAATGTGGCTACCAGTGTAATGGATGAGATGCGTTTCGCTCTACTCTTCAGTTGGGTGTACCTCCATCCCAGAGTTTATGTTCACCCCGGTAGTCGAACCGATTACCGTTCACTTCAAATGCCATCGGGTTATCCACTTAGCTACTGAATCTATATAGCAACCCACTTGTGCAACGGGTATGAGATTTAATTCATTTGAAATATTTTTTCGATCATCCCGTTGTTGATATTTTCGACTGTGATTTGATCAGTCTTGGTTGGTGTATGAGCATCCTGTGCAGACTGTATAGATATAGCCATTATTATACAAGTTTATGTACATTAGATGACTGTGGGTGACATGGCTCAGAATCGATCACAATGGCGTAGGTGTATACACTCTTTGTCTTCCCTTAAACTGAGATTAAAATTATTTCACATATTTCTACGAACTAATTCTTTCTTTCTGTACTACATCCTTACATAAAATCTTTCCTTTATATATTACACCATTGAGTTAACTACTTCTATAGATCCGGTGTTCGTCTTCCTGTACTAATGAGGTGTGGCAACTTGGACCGATGCATGTGTGTGCCTGGTCCTACGTTGTAACTGACTGACATTAGATGAAATGTGGCTAGCAATGGAATCCAGCGCTCGCGATTCGTCCTTATACCAACGACTCCTGATCAAATATGCATATTTTTAGTGGTTATTATTTAATGTTAGTTATTTGCCAAGTACAGATTTATGTAACGGGCTTTAAGCCACACTTTGTATGCATCCATAAGGTCTAGTGATAAGTTGCTTGATTATCTAAACGATTTTGAAAAGTTTTTCGATTTTTCTTATCAATCATAATACTAATGTGGAAGAAAAATGTATCATACAAAAGAAAAAAATTCGAATTATATACTGTTTTCAATGAATATGTTGAGATGGGTTTTTGGTTTTTCTGTTTTGCAGTTAAACAATCAGTAAAAATACTAATCCATATGAGTCTTATTAACAATCTAACTCGCAAATAATTTATTTTCCTTAATGAAATCATCAACCATCAGCAATCTTTATCGATCCATGCGCCGTGACCTCAAGTTCACTATCTCAGTCATAATTTGTTCATCCGTATAGTTAGTACTAACTAAATAGTATTACTTAATTGTCGAATTCGGAATAGTAGTGATACGGAGTTCAGACTTACGATATTTTAAACCCAAGTTCCCTAACCATTAACTAACTCGTTGTTCTCCTCTTTCCACTTTCACACAGGTTCAAATACTAATTGTTATTGTTTAGATAATCCTTCCCCTCATATTAACAGTAACCTTCATCAAACAGTCTCCCAAAGTGTGAGCATACTAATTTGTACAATGGTTACTCAGTTAAATTAAACTGAATTCCAATGTTAACGTGATATTTCAGGTAATAATTAATGCTGAAAATCAGGTCTCTTTATTTGATTGGTGAGTGATTGACCTACGGATTCCAACCTCGTACTTATTATTAAATGTCATCTAATCACGTCTTCTTGTATTTAATATCTTTGGAGTTAATCATGTCATTTTACTCGAGGTGAAACCTACTTTGCTGCCATATGGTTTTTTTAATAATATTTCATTTGCGGGTGTGCATCGACAAGTCAATCTTATGAGCAGCTATCACTTGATCGCATAGTATGGTTTCGGTTCATCTGTCAGCCATATCATCATATTCACTTTAAGACCGCTTTAGTATACGACGTTTTCATTCGTCAAATACTGAAACCTATCCTCCATAACAGGACCTCATCCACACAACTCATATTTTTATCACCCGTAAGACCGATAAACGTTTTTTGTTAGTTGTTACTATTTATCGGTCTGTTTCTGCATTTTTCCATTCCGCTTCTGTCTAAAAGGTATTTTCTCGTAACCAAAATAATTTGTACTTGTGGACGTGAGAAAATACCTATAACTTTGTTTCCATAGTCTTATTGCATGCATATTTGGTTTTTAAAAAATCTGTTCATTTCTGTCCATTGTTTTTCTTCTAGGAATGACTACTCGTCAGACAGTAGCTGAGGTTGAAAAAGGTTATCGATTACCTTGTCCTCATACTCCTGAACACCCTTGTCCTGATGACCTATACAATCTTATGCGAAAATGCTGGGACGCTAGACCAGAGAATCGTCCTACATTTCGTTCTTTGTATGATGTTTTTGAAAACTGGTCTACACACACAGAAGCTCAATATCTAGATAACTAGGACCCAATCTTCTTTTTTTCTTAATAATCATTCCTAATTCATATTAATATTTCACTACGTGTACATTTCCGGTGAAGTATTTTTCTTCCTGTGAATTCTTCGTTTTTCTTTATGTACATATTAAATATTCACTTTTTGTGGCCAGTCTGTTCAACGTGTATTGTATATGCATCTCTTTATTGTTTTATTAGCTAGCTCTCTTGTCATTAATTTCTCCTACCTTTGTGTTTTCTATCTACTGTTTTCTGATTTTAAAAAATGACACAATATCCTGTTATGTACACATATATCCCGCGCCACCAAATTTCTATGTAATACTGATGTTTTGTGTCCCACAACTTTGTCGTACATTTATATTTATATCCTTCCAGTATTTTAAAAGTTATACTGCTTTTGCTTTCGTAGGCAAAGAAAATAGCAATCGTAATTTCCGATGAATACTTCCAATTCGCATATAGATTACTATATAGGCCTCTGCATTTTCTCAAAATCTACTCATTTTAGCTAAGTTGTGTGTATCAGTAACACTGTTAATCGATTTCGTTTTATATGTATTGTATAATTGTTATTCGGTTTTTGTAAATTATGTATATCGCATTTTTAGTGTAATTTCTTTTTTCTAATCCTCTCAATATGCTTTTTTTTCTAGACTACCTTTAAATAATTACATTACCAAACGTTTTTGTTTTTGTGTGTACAATATGAAGAGTAAAGTTGGCAAACAATTCCAGCACACAGCAAAGCTAATTATTATAAAAATGTGCATCCAGTATACCTTAGTTCTTTTCTTTCTTTTTCTAATGCCTGGTGTATATCTGATGTAACCTGAGAAGTATCACTATTCTACTGCTGTAAACATCTTATTACGAATACATATACACCTTTTTAGTTGGAAACAAACTATTCAATGTCAGTATCACTCTACCGTCGTAGAAATACCTGTAAATTCTGTGTGTGTTCCAATCCACTTAGTGCAAGCAGAAAGCATATTCATGCGATTGTCTATATCTATTTTTATCGCTCTCTCTCTACCAGTTAATAATCGAATAAATTAAAGTTTGATTCATTTTATTTCACTTAGTGGCGTTTCTTTCTCATAAGGGTGATCACATTACTGGTTAAATTGGTTCTTGGATGAGATTCTTAATGTCAATATGTGCACATTGTGGAATCTGTATTCATTACTCGGATTGTTATATGAATTATGAAACTAAAAGATCCAACATACAACATTTCCGCTCTTATTCTTGTTTCATGCATCCTTTTCTAATTCTGCCACTGTTTATTGCCTATGAATTGATCAATGTATTTCGACTGCGTGTATTATTCTTAGTCTTTCCTTTTATCCAACCGAAATGCAATTTTCGTGTATATGATTCGCGTTGTCTGTTCACAACAACTATAAATAAAATAAAATGTACTAAGTTCTATTCAAGTTAGTTTTTTTTTAGTAAAGGTTTTTGTGGAAATTAGTTTAACTTGCAGGTTATTTTGATAATTGATTAATCTCATTTGGCGTACAAACCAGGGATCGAACTGCATAATCTTAAGTTCTCGCAGTGAGCGTTTAGCCATTAGAATAACAATATATATCCAAAAGCTCATTCCAAGTTCGATGCCAATTATCTCTTGTTAGCTCTGATCATATAATATGGTTAACAGCTAAGAAATTTTCATTCTCTATTTCAATTTAGATTCTATTTTTTCCGTTCCTTAATATTTCTGGATATAACTTCCTAATTAATTCATAGATGAAATTCACTTTACACAATTTGTGTGGATTTAAAGTTGAAGGTAAAAGTCAACTGAATCATCATGTTTCTTTTTCATGGAGTTTGAATGAGTGTAGATAAAATTGAAAATTTGATTTAGAATAATTAAAATAAAAGATTTGACGAATCCCACTGATTTCATTCGACTGTAAAGTGAATAGATAATATCAATCTAAAGAACTATTCAATAGCTGTTAGTCTCTTGAACACAAATCCCAAAATGTAGACTGAATATACTGAGATATCATTTTACTTGGTAACTTGTTAATTGGCTTCATCTATCGATATGGCTTGTGTACTTTATCTTCTCAATTCAACCTAGAACGTAAACGGTAAAAAGGTGAACTTAAGTACCTCACTTATTTTTACACCAGTTTCAAATAATTGTTCCACAGTCGATTTAGTACATTTTAATCGTCTCAAAGTGAATGTATTCATTATTAGAACACATTCTCGTTATGTTTATGCGAGTATTCGTTAAAAATCGAATAAATAATTGGACAGAAATTAAGCACCGAGCCCATAGAAGACATCAAATGTAAAAATTATATTTGAATAATCTGAATGACTAAAATGTAAATAATTGCGATATTCCATGTGGTGAATTTACCTGAACTCCTACAGGAAGAAATAATGTATTTCATTGTTTTCCGCAGAGCATTTAATTTCGTGGACCTTCAGTCTCGCACATGAACGCTTAACCTCTAAACCACTGAGCCGACATCCAACGGTGTTACTCTCTAAATTTAATGAATGCACAATAGTGAACGACCATCTTTCATTGTCATTTGTTAGTATCTTCCTCACGCGTGACACGGTTTAGCTCCTTTGGTAACGGCTTCTCACTAGAATTCTACAACCCCTTATCGGAAGAGGCACTCTATTTCTTGAACAAATTTTTCAGACTACTTGTTTTGTTAGTTTATTTTTTGTTCTATTTTCCCTTTATTTTGTCATGTTTTACTAACTGGTTTATTTTTAACATCCATTTATGGGTTATCTTTCCCTTTTTCACGTTAACACTAGTCATCAAAGTGGCAGTTGATGAGATTGCTAGCTATTAGTGAAATTACGAACCGACCAAATTAAGATAACCATTGAAAACTTGGAACCACTGGACAGCTGCTTTGTCCTAGTACATATTCAAAACCTCACTACAGGAAATCGAACCCAGCATATTTAATCTCTCGAGCTATCATCTAGACCACTGAGCAAGGATCCAATAGTGTATTATTCAGTCACTTGGGAATTGTGATAAGAGCATATGTAGTACAGGCATACACTAGAGTGATTCTTTAAGTAGCTACAATAAATTTTGCTTTCATTCCTAACCAATCAGGAAAGATTGTTGTAATTAAATAGTTTGTATGAAAAAACTGGTAATATAAAGTTATACATACTTTACATGACTAATTCATTCAATGAAGTTTTCGAATGTGTTTTCATACCTGTACAAGGAAAAGACAATAGTATGTAAATTCATCCGTGTTACAATGTAACATCTGCCTTGTCAGACGCTTGTAAAGATGTAAATAGTAGGGCTTCTTTTTGAGTCCACACATTATTTCCGGTTAGACTTTTGTTTTAAAAATGTGATTGATTTGCGTGCTATTTACAATCTAAATGGAAACTGCTGAGGATTTGATAAGCGCAAAGCAATCGTTTTCGCTCCATGATTACCAAAGTAAATTTTTTTATAATTTCAAACTTTCTGAGCAGCAGACAAAGTATTTCTACTGTTCACTTTATTACATATAAAATGAAGTACGGGGATAACCATCCCTTTTCAATTGTGATATGAATGTGCAATGTCTAACATTTAGTGTACCAGTACTGCATATATGAGTCAAAATTTTACTGGGAAATTCATTTTAATCATCTCAGACTATCTGCATGTCTTATGTGAACACCCAGCATAGCTCATTTCAATTTACCGGATAAAAATATAAATGAGGTGAAAGTTAGAACTTGAAATGGATTTTCAGTAAAAATTATACTCTTACCTACATCATCCACTCACTGATTGGACGAAAAAATTCTGGATATAGGTTATATATTGAAAATAACGAAGTATATGCTATAAAAACCACTAATATGTATCCTTCTCCAACATAACTCGTCATTTTTGAATTTCGCGCAAAAAAGTATGTCAATCCCGATTGGCTCGTACCCATACATCATACTTTTAGCTTATTCTTTACATGAGTTTACACTTAAACTTCTGTAACGGAGTAAATATTAAGTAAGGCTGAACTTCCTAAACTGTTTAACTCGAACTCATTATTTATGTTTTTGATGTATTACTAAATACAAATTTTGTATTCTTCTGCTTATAAGCATTGGTTTGACGCAAAAACTATTGTCGTTTATCATACATTTTGATCAGAATGGTGTTTATGGAGATTGTAGTAAATTTAATAGTTGAATTCATGAGTCAATGTAAGTTAGACCACCATGGAAACACTGGATGGCTGTTTCGGCCTAGCATGGGACTCCTCAGCAGTGCGCATTCACTGTTCCGCACGTGGGATCCGAACCCAGGACCTATCAGTATCTCACCACTGTTAACGTCTAACTTCAATCAATCCATAACTTAGTGATTAACCTACAGACAGCGAATCTGGGTGATGCGGATTCGGATACCACTAGAAGCATCGGTCTCCGCAAGGCTACAAATAGGCCTCATTGACAATTTTCAACTACCACGAAACCCGGATTACGTTTAACTACATAACGAAATGACTTCAACTACTTTTTGGTTAGCTGATTAGTTATTTTCGTCTTGCATTTACGTTTACCAGTCATGCACTACATAACTGCTCATCAACTCAGATATCTACTCTTCATATTTACCAATACAGAAAATGAGATTTCACAAAGTGTAAAGTATTGGATCCGAACCGCACTAAAGCTAAACGTAGGGTGAACAATTATGAAAGAGCAAACACAATTATGAATGAATGTATGGAATGGTATCAAAACTGAAGATTTGTTGGGGGATAAAGAATAACATATATTAAGACAATTCGGAGTCATATCACACTACAGTTTGTGATGTGCATATCATCCAACATCCGTTCGTCGGCATATATCTGTGTGCCTCAGGGTTATATAATCGGGTGAAGTTGGTGGAAACTGTATGTATATGCTTGTATTTGGAGATGAGATAAAAGAAAACCGAATTACTTAAACTTGATATTGAATGTAATTCGGAAAACACTAAACACA